CTGCAGGCTTGACAGCAGGAGATGTATCACTGCTGTAACAGCTGTAACATTCACACAAGATTTGCGCTAAACGTCGCAAATCTCTCATCTCAAAACACCGCTGTCACTCCTAAAACTTCCTGCCTTCTTCCCCCAACTAAATATCATGTTGCCATATCATTTTTTTGATTGGTCGACATGGTACTTTTTCCGACGAACAGGAAAGGGTGGGGTTTTTTGGTTTTGCTCACAGGTGGAGAGTGCTTTCGAGCGTTTTCCTTATAAAACGCCGTTTTTACCGTTTCTTCCCGCAGTAAATATAAACAACGATAGTATTCAGGAAAAACAAACATTGCATATATTTTTATCATAACTCTGGTTTTACGTGGCCGATCAACACAATTTAAAAACTGGTATAAAGTCCACACTTTTTCCGTCAACTTCCGTCTGTCCTGCTCACATCTCCAGTGGTTGTACACATTGCCATTAACTCCACATCAGCCACGCCGCTTTGCTAGCTAAAACACCGGTGTCAGCACATAAGGACGCTGTCGTAGCCTGTCAACGACGTTGATTAACTGCGTATATACAAATATGACTATGGGATAAGGTGGCTTTGTTCTAATCCGATGCGGGAGCAGCCAGTCACTCACTGACTAACACTGCAAAACAGAATTGTTAAAGTTTTATTTTCAATTCAGGTTAGATTTTTTTCTTTTCTTTTGTGTGCAACGCAGATTTTCTGTGCGCAGAGATCGTGCCACCAGTGCGCAATTGCACATGCACGCAGCTTAGAGGGAACATTGGTCTACAGGTATGGGCAGGAATGGCTCAGTAGGTAGAGTGGGAGCTCGGGGGTTCGAATCCACTGAACGGCTATCATGAGGTACCCCTGAGCAAGGTACCGTCCCCACACACCGCTGCCGACTGCTTAGGTGAATAGGTTGAATGCAGGGGTTTTTCAACTTGGGGATCAATACACTCTACAGACCTGTTGCTCAGCATATTTTTGACACTGCCTCCTGTTGTCAGCAGACAGCTACTACATGTAGACAAGAGTCTACAAAGCTGTGCATTGGCTGTCTAGCAGCAGAGCACAACCATGCCAATCCCATAATGCACTTCCTGAAAAGCCTACACCAGCATAAATAGTGATTGTACTCTTAGATGCAAAGGAAGGAGTTGTGGCTTTGTTTACCACCTTAAAACACTTTTTTAATTTGATCTATATTCTTATGCGGGTTTAGTATTTCATGTTCGTCATTTTTTTGTGTTTCTTTCACAGTCTTTTACTCTACATACACAGCGTTGTCACTGAGGCATCATCAAAAAATAAATAAATAACAGGAAGAGCACAGTAGCCCTATCTCCATATGGAGCACTCACCGCTCCTCTTATTCTCACAGTTTTGGTATCAGCAAAGTTCCAGGAAAGATGGAGAGTAGGGAGAGAAGAGGAGGTCGAGATTCTGCCTCTCGCAGGGCAATTAAAGTGAGCTGAGTACACGGTGAGAAGTAGTGCTCTCACTGAGAGATGTACTGCACCTGTGGTGTGACAGCCACAGATAAAACCCTTAGTTAGTCAAAATCATGACAGTGACTTTACTCTAAGTCAGCCTTATTTGCTGCTGCTTTTACTTCAATATCATTTAACGCAGAAGCCAATTCAGTCACTGCGTTTCACACCACGGAGCAGTCGGCCACATAAAGACTAATTTTAGCACATATTTGAAAGTGAAGATGTCCCCGGGGAGTGGTTTGATAAGCCTGCAGAGAGAGGACAGGTTTTTCTTACCAGACAGCTGTACTCTACCTCCTGCTCTGGCAGTTTTTTGTCATTTCTCCACCTTCTCTCACCCCCCCATCCTCCCCACCCGCACCTTCCTTTTCCACTCCCACTCTATAGATAATGAGGTTTTAATGTAGTAAATTTGATATGGTGCAAGAAGGCTGGATTTTTCCCCATTACTTATCTCTGGCTACCAGGCCTTCCCATATGGGCTGCCCCCTAACCTCTTCATTCTGGCAAACATAGAGCCACCCTCATCCTCCCTCCCCCCCACCCACACACACACCTTCAAATTCAAACTTCACCCCCAACACAATACCCCATTTCTCTGTCCACTTGCAAATATACCGCATTCTTTTCAAGCCTTTAACACTTGTCCTTGCGTTATGTCCTAATTACGAGAAAGCAATTAGCGGCGTCCATCTTTTATATATGTTAATAAGAGAAATCAATATATTAAGATGACATGAATGAAGGTAGTAAATATATGATATCGCATATTGGAAAAGTAAACAGGCCCTGCAGCAACAAAGGGGGCTGATGATCGGGGGATGACTGTTGGTTATGAAAGATTACGATAATAAAAACAATCATCTTTAACCCTCTTTCATCCGTTCCATCTTCTGATAGCCTTCCCAGCCTTTCGTCTGCTTTTCCCTCAATTTCTTCCCACTCTTTTCCCTCCTGACCTGTCCTGTTCATCACCACCGTCATCTCTCTTCCTCTCATCTTTGCTATGCTTTTGACCCCCTCCACCCTACCACCCTTCATCCTCACTGCATGCTTCCCTTCCTCTACTTTCATGCCATCACCACATTATATCTGTCATTCTCTCCAGACTCCATTTCAAATTAACTGCAGTGAAGCTTTTTTTTTTTATCTGAAAGAAACCGACTGAAGACAGGAAGTCTAGAAGGCAGACAGAGAAAGATAGCAGTGCAAGGTGGTGGTCTTTGGTTTATTGGAGTGGCCTGATAGGTCTCATACCTAATTCAGTCCAGAAGAAGAAATGGAAGGGGTGAAGACCAAATTCTCACCTGTCTCTGAGGATAATAGCTAATTAACTGCATTGTGACAGAAATACCTATATATGCAGGGAATGAAGGGGGGTGGGGTTAAAAAGGGTGAAAACATAACTGGAAGATATATGAGGGCAAGGAGCATCATATGAAGCAAAAACTGGAGGTTTAGAAATGTTAACGATAGTGAGCTTGAAAAAGCCTGAACAACATTTGTTCTCATGTGGCAAGATTCTCTGTTACCACACCAAGAAAACTGGAAAAACATATCATGTTTATGTATCTTTCCAGAAATAATGACAAAGGATCGCTAAAGACTATTCGTTGTTTTTGTAGGGTTGGCTCCAAAGTGGTGCTAACGGGGTAAATGTTGGAAATCGCACGAGTGCCAGCTAAAGATTTCTGACTTCTTGCCTTCTGACAGTGACTGCAACTGTACCAGAGGAACCTTTGATGTCTGAGAGGATCCTGTGAGGATTTAGGTTTCCAGAGAGGACAGGACAACTTTGCCCTTTACTCTGGTTACAGTTTAGTATAAGAGACTGATGGGGAAGGGAAGGTTAAGCTCACATACTGTTTTCTGCTGTGTGGAATCTGTTTCCTGTGCACAGAATCATTATATTCATTCAGCAAACACTCAGTCTGCCGCTGTATTTTGAATGCCTTCTGCCCATTTTGAATCAGATTAAGCCTCACAAATCATATGGTGTGATCTGTTTAAGAATACCAATATCAAGTCTGCAAAAGCAGCAGCTTTAGGAGTTCTTTAGTTTTGAATAGGGCTTCACATCTCGCAAAATGCTTGTTTCTGACCTTTTCTGTTTTAAAGAGGAACCTGACTTATTGAATCTTTATGTGCTGCAAAAAATGGCAGTCTCCCAATCTTAGTGTTTAGTTTCGACACAGAGGTGTAAGTTAAGTAGTGTTTCTTTATTCATCACTCACTTTTCCATAGTGTAGATCGTTTTATCCAGGATGTCAGTGTAACCATGAGGTGAGCGCTGGTTATGGTTACAGATGCAATAGAGCTGACCAGAGGGGTTGGATAATATGTTCAAGTTTTCAAACTGGCAACCATCGATCCATCTACAAGCAACTGCTGCTGTGTACAGTCAGGGTCAAAAGAAAGTTTTACACATCTGGTGCATACATCTGGTCTTTGAATGAGGTAAATACAAACTCAGATGGACTACAAAACACTGTGTCATTATTTATTTGACAAAAACTCAGAATCAGTCGCTGCCTCCATAGGAACTGAGAGGGTAAGTGGCAGCCAGGTGCTGCTAATCAAACACACTTGATTAACTGAAGAGCAGAAAGTGTGAGCACCTCTATAAATCCTCGTACAGTGGATTAGAAAGTCATTAAGGAAATATTAAGTTATTCCTTCTTAAGGTTGTTCTAGCTGTTGAATCATGGGGTGTAATACTGATGAGTCTCTTGTGTCTGTGTACAACTCTCAGCTCTGGAGATCATTACAACAAAAAGAAAGACAGCACACGTAGACTTCTTGTATTCTCAAGGTGGATTAGGTTAGATAGTGACCCACACACAGTGCTGCTAAAAAGTGTTTTGCCACCTTCTGCAAATTTGTAACAGTTACGAATTCATCAAACAAATTTTCATTTTTGACAATGATAAACTGATTAAATACAAAATGCATTTTGAAATGATGATATTATTTCGTTTGGGACACCAGTATTCCAAACCTACCGATGTGAAGTGTTGCCTTGCTTTTTAATAGCCACAATGAAATGAGACTAAACACAATCGTGCTTTGGCCACTGTGTATCACAGCACACTCTTCCCTAAAACAACAATCCAGTGTCTTCTCTGTGTGAAGTTTTAATAAAATAAAAGCTATACACAGTGAGGCCAGTGGATTACTTTTTTTCCTGTTTCAGCTTCACATTACATGAAAACACAGATATCCAAATATGGATTAATAAACCCAAACTATCTCCATGACTACATATTGTACCACTACGTGTAACTGTAATATTTTTGTTATTTGGAACAGGGCAATGTGATGAAGCCTGGCAAAGGGTGCTTTTACCAATTTCTTTTGTTTTCGCTTTACTTTGGATGTATTTTTGTTTATACTGGCCAAAACTAAGTGCTGAAGTTAGACTAAAAGAATATTTTGGTTACAGACAGACTGTTTGGGCTGCTTCTTAAATATATCTCCTAATTGTCTCTGTACCTCACACGCAGTTGCAGTCATCTGTGCTGAACAGTTCGATGGTCCTAAGCGAAACACCTAATGTGGTTCTGGAGGGTCTGAGACCCGGGACCGGCTATGTGGTCCAGGTGAGGGCCCGCACTGTAGCGGGCTACGGAGCCTACAGCAAAGACATGCTCTTCCAAACCCTCACCGACGGTAAGTGTGTGGGTGGTTATCTGGAGTGTGTGGAGGTGTTTGTGTGGGTGTGGGTTTTCGTGGTGGAGAGGAAAGCGAGTGTAGGGCTGAGAGAGGGAATGTGAGAGGGTTGCGCAAGAGTGAAATTCTGGCTGTGAAGTGATTAAATTCTCCCTTACTTTCTCTGTGTGTGTGTGTGTGTGTGCGCGCGTGTGTATGTTTGTGAAGAGTGCTTGCAGTCATGTAAAATGAGCCTTGTAAATTATATTTTCTGTGTATTAGAGAGAAAAAAGTGTCAGTTATATATTTTCCCTTCCAGAAACGCTCAGCTGTGTGTATGCAAGACTGAAACATATGAGGAGTATGAAATATAATATTTTTTCCTTAATTTGTGTGTGTGTGTGTTCTGCAGATGAATATAAGTCAGAGCTCGGACAGCAGCTCTCTCTGATTGCTGGCTCTCTAGTTGGTGGAGTGTGTATTGTATCACTAGTAGCTATCGCCATCATCTGTACCAGGTAATGCACAGCTGACACACCTGCTCACTTCACACGAAAGTGCAGCTGCACATAAATGTGTGTCACTGCAAAATCCAAAGAGGTAGAGATGCTAGACACGTGTCCTATTAAATAACATACTTTTCACTTGTCAGACTATGAACATGAACTGATAGTTAAAACAACAGTTCCCCTCTTTTTTGAGCTTTGAACGAAATGCAAAGGTATTTGTAATTACGTGGACAAAGCGGCACTTCAGTAGCACAGTTGCAGCTTCCACACATCACGTCTTTAGATCACGTTATTTAATGACCGCTGAGGAAATCGATTAGCTGAGACAGACTGGTAGATGCTTTTTTAAAAGCAGTAAGTGGACTTTGAACAACATATTTTTTTCCAGGATAAATGTTCAGGGCCGATTGGCCATGGAGCATACCACATGAATAAAAAGGCCCCCAGCAACAGAATCCCTCACCCATTTTACTAATCCCCTGCTCTCTTTCCTGACATTTGCCATCTGTTTCAAATATAATTACCCAGTAAAATAAATCTGACACCCACAAATATCAATCAAATAAATGTATTTTAACAAAGCTCCTTTAAATGAATAAGAGAGCTGCTGCACATGCATTCTTCTATTTCAGCTAAAATGGTGAAAAAAAGAAAAAAATGGAAGTTTATCAACCATATGAGCAGCACCTAGCTCACGGTGCGAGCTATCGCTACTTAAGCGTAAACCAAATAATGGAAGCCTCTGGGAGTGTGTTGTGTGGAGCGTAGCCACAGCTGATGTACCTCCTTTAAAGTAACATTTTATATGTTGTTGATGTGACAAAAAATAAATGACAAGTGAAAGTTCTGCATGAATAATTGTACTAAAATGTCCATCCGTCAGTCCTTACAAAACACCATCCATCCCTCTATTCGTCATCTTCCACTTATAGACAATCAGGTCACAATGGCACTAAGCCAAGTAGGGTCTTTTCCCCAGCAACACTTTCCAGTTGATCCTGGAGGAGCTGAGGTGTTCCCAGTTGCTCCCAATCACTCGAGTGAGCCTTGAGTCTATTCTAGGGTCACCTCATGTTTGGATATACCCAACGACCTCCAATGGAAGGCTCCCTTGAGACCGGAAGGCGCAGGAGATCCCTTTGGATGTCTGAGCTGTTCTCCTTATCTCCAAAGCTGAGCCCATTCCTTCTACAGAGGAAACCGATTTCATCGGTCTTAGTCGTTTGGTCATTACTAGATCTCATGATCACTATTTGCACTATTTGTTGCAGTCTTATGAAAGTTGGACTTGGTGGAGTGGTAATCTCATTACCATGACAGTCTGGTACAGCACCCACATCACTGCTGATCTTGTGCCAATCTGTTGGTTCAAGTCACACTGCACTTCCTGTTACTTGGGAATAAGAGGCCATCATATTTGATACAAGCTTCTAAACCCCAACCAGGAGGCAGCATTTCATCATTTTTCCAGTTGGAGATGAGAGGAACTCTGTGGCAGTCCACCACCTCCTGCTTGACCACTAAAATGAAGCAATGTTGCAAAAGTACCGCTTTGGCGCCTATGGGTGTCATATTATTCTGTATGGCATCGTTAGATTGTTAAATTACAGGCATCAGTGCATGAACAGCTTGTCTTACTTACTTTACATATAGGGGTAATAGGGTAAAGGGGTTGAGGACATGATTGGTGGTAGAGAAGAAGAAGAAAAAGATGTGATAAACTAATCTGTTGTTTGTTTTTCATCTTTGATGTGTTTTTTTTTTTTGTGGTGTCTTATCATTTGAATTTCGATTGATATTAAACCATGTGAGAAATTTGGATCCAAAAAAATCCCTATTTGTTGCAGCTGTTAAAAAACAGACGTTTGACTGATCTCATTACATTCTGCTTTTTGTAATTCAGCAAGCTTGAAGGTTAAAACCACTGGTGTCGGCTTTAATAATGTGCTCTATTTTAAAACATTATCAACTGTGTAAAATGTTCACCTAAAACTATTTTCTGGAGCTGTTAAATAAATGTCTTAGAAAGTAAAATAATACTTTTAAAACGAAGTACAGTTGAAGTTGCATTAAATGGTACCTTACTATATATACACTATATTGCCAAAAGTATTTGCTTGTCTGCCTTCACACTTAAATGAACTTGAGTGACATCCCATTCTTAATCCATAGGGTTTGCAGCTATAACAGCTTCAACTCTTCTGGGAAGGCTTTCCACAAGGTTTAGGAGTGTTTATGGGAATTTTTGACCATTCTTCCAGAAGTGCATTTGCGCTCTAATTGATCCCAGAAGTGTACGGTCAGGTTGAGGTCAGGACTCTGTGCAGGCCAGTCAAGTTCTCCCACACCAAACGCACTCATCCATGCGTTTATGGACCTTGCTTTGTGCACTGATGCACATTCATGTTAGATCAGGAAAGGTCCCCAAGCTGTTCCCATACAGTTGGGAGCATGAAATGAAAGAATTACAAGTTCCTCTGACTGGAAATTATGAGGGACAGCCCCAACAAGTACCCTTGTCCTGGCAACCACCAAACCCACAGTCATCCAGATGGAGAAGTGTGATTCGTTGCTCCAGACGAGACATCTGCACTGCTCTAGTCTGTGGCGTGCTTTATACCACTTTATTCATCACTTTGCATGGCACTTGGTGACATAAGGCTGTTGTTCGACCGTTGTTCACTGTTCCTGAAGGCCACATGAATTTTGGAGGTCTGTAGAGATTGACTTTGTAGAAAGTTGGTGACCTCTGCGCACGATGCACCTCAGCTCTGTGATTTTACATAGCCTACCACTACATGGCCAAGTTGCTGTTGTTCCCAATCATTTCATCTTTGTTATAATATCACTAACAGTTGATTGTGGAATATTTAGTAGTGAGAAAATTTCACAGCTGGACTTGTTCCACTATCACGGTAACATTCTGGAATTTACTGAGCTCTTCTTTTACAAATGTTTGTGGAAGCAGTCTGCATGTCTAGCTGCTTCATTTTATACACCTGTGGTCATGGAAGTGATTGCAACATCTGAATTCAATGATTTGGATGGCTGCGTTTTGACTTTTGGCAATATAGTGTAGCTTCCACCACTGACAGCTGCAGCTCTCTCACCTTAAATGTAGAATCGGTATGTTTACCAGTATGTCTGCTTGCAGTCGTGTGTGTGCATCTAAGTCAAATCCTCTCTGTACTCTGTAGTCTTTAACCTTTCGCTGATCAACTGATTCAAGCTCAAACTACACTTGCTGCTGCTATTGCTATTATTGTTAGCTATTTCCAATACTTTTGTATCTGCATATGGTACTACAAAAAACCGAGTGTGGCATTTTCCAAATAATGGTCATTCATGGCCACAGCCACTGACAGCAAGGAGACCTACAAGTTAGTCTAACTTTAAATTTTGCATGCATTGGACTATAAAATATTTGTTTTCTTATCCTGTTAGGGGGTCACAGATGAACTGGAGCCTGTCCTAGCTGACATTAAGGGAGAGGTGGGCTATGTGAAGGAGAAATATCAAAATTAGAGTGCAAGAACAAAAGATTCTTATGAAATAACATTGGTTGTGTACGTGAAGGGAGCATTTCTAAATGTACTTCACATATTTTTTTAACAAAGGATTTGAAATGACTCCTAGTAGAAATAAAGTTGTAGACCAAAAAATCACGCACAAGTGATGCAAAAAAAATATTAAATTATAATATTTAATACGGCAAGAGTTTTAAACTAGCTGTGAAATGAGAAATGTCCAAAGTCTCAGTGACCCCATGAACTCCCAGAAATAGCGAGCGGCAAGCTGTCTCTCCTGCGCTCAGTATTAGGTGTCTGCTGTGGAGATCAGTCCACATATTAAAATATTACCGCGTGCATTCCTTTAGTTTCAGCCTCGGAGAGAAGCGGGAAACAAGAGCTGATGACAAAGAGCACGAGCAAGTCACCCAATACTAATGATTTCCTGACAGACTCTCTCTTAAGCACACTTCTGGAAAACAATTTATTTCACCTCAAAAGAGAAACAGCGAGAGGACAACCAATTAGCATGATGTTTCTGCAACATTTCTAACTTTGAGTTGTGTTATTTTTTTACCTACTTGCCACTTTTTCTTCCCCGTAAATCTCTGTGTCCGTGTTTCTGTCTGCAGGAGAAGGCAGCTGAAGGAGAGCGTATATGGTGACAAGCTGCAGCAGTACAACACAGGAGGAGGTACGACCCCCCTCCTAACACTGCGCTCTTTATTTCTTTATCACGATACATAAAATATGATGTGTTAAAACAGTGTGTGTATTTGAGCTTTCTGACTTTCTCCTCAGAGGTGACTCTGAGGCCAGACATGTTCAGTGGACCCACACCCACTGTGACCTTTCCCAGCCTGTCTGAGGGTCACAGTTCACCAGGGGTCAAGATCTACATTGACCCTTTCACCTACGAGGACCCCAATGAGGCTGTGCGGGAGTTTGCCAAAGAAATCGATCCCTCCTGTGTCAAAATAGAGGAAGTCATCGGATCAGGTAGATATTTTAAGTGCCTTCATGTGTTTGGTGACCCTTTCGCTTTCGTCATGTTGTTTCTATAAGCTGCTGAAAGATAATCTCAGCAAGGGAAAATCTGTATTTATTTTCAGATGTGTTGAATAACCACTGCATTCATTCCGTTTAAGCAAAATCAGTTGAAGGTTGAGATGAAAAAATAACCACAATCACAGCACTGCTATCCTCTACAAAGCGCCTCAAAACACAAGCTAGAAAAGCAAACCTTGGTTTATTTAATGAAACCAACCGCCATGTGAAGGAGCAGATCCTCTACAGCAAATTAATCAAATTTCTCAACTGTGCCAGACTTTAGTGTGAATGAGGAAGATCTGGAATCACACAATGCCAGTTTATTATTTTGCTTTATTTTTCCTTTGAAGTCAGGAGAGATGTTTTATTCATGTTGAAAACTTTCACAGGAATAAATTAAAACTGTCTTCATGCATTCTCTTTGGCTATCTGCACTCTCACTGTAAAAATGCTGTATGATGTTTGGCAAACAGAGAACGCTGAGAGTCCCAGGGCTGCTGGGGGGGGGGTTTGGCTATTGGATGAGAAAAGGAGAAAGGAAAAGAGGAAGGAAAGAAGAACAAGGAACACCTTTAAAGTATAAAGCTGAGTGTGAGTTATCATCCACTTCAGTTATCAGTCGTTGGGCTTCAGTATCGTGCAAAAGTCTTAAGCCACCCCTCATTTCACTGGAAAATAAATGCAGCAGTTTTATTGAAGTGTGTACAAACATAAAGGAAACTAGTCTAAGGCAGCGGTCTCCAACCTTTTTTGCGCCACGGACCAGTTTATGCCCGACAATATTTTCACGGACCGGCCTTTAAGGTGTCGCAGATAAATACAACAAAATAAAACTAGTACCGGTACCGAAAAAAAAGAAGATTTATTCATAACACACGTGAAAAGACCCAGGGACACCGAGTTAACGATAAAAACGATAACAAAATAACACTGAAAACCGATAAAAACCCTGAAAACCATACATTTCACACCTGAGCTTCAACTCTCGCGGCCCGGTACCAAACGACTCACGGATTGGTACCGGTCCGAGGCCTGGGGGTTGGGGACCGCTGGTCTAAGGAGCTTGGAAAGAAAAGCGTCTGGAATTCTTTAAGTTGCTTGAAGACGTTTCACCTCTCATCCGAGAAACTTCTTCAGTTCTAAAGTTTAGATAAAAACCTTAGAACACTGATCAAGGGGTCCTTTCTGCCTTTTGTGGGGGACACTCCCATAGGGCTTAAATCTGGGACTCTCCACCAAGAAGCTTCTCAGATGACTGAGAACCTTCACAGACATAAAGGAAACTACAATATATAAGTCAAAAACACAGTTTGTACAATTCAAACAAGCTTGAAAGTCAATATTTTGTATGACCAACTTCATTCTTCGGCACAGACTAAACTTTCTTTTTTTCTTCCTTACACCGCTGAGTGAAATGCAACTCCAAAACCATGACTAAGCCTCCATTGTGTTTTATATGGTGGCTGTACACACTCATTGTTGTACCTCTATTCTCATCCACTTCATAATAATGACATACAGCTTTTAAGAATGGCTTGTTTACCGTTTTTCACGTGGCCTTGGGAAATAGTGGATGAATCAATTGGGGGCCTGATGCATCTTTCAGGGTATCCACATTCAGATTGGATGAAGGGTTTGGGAGTTTCAGGTCCTAAATATGTGCCACTCTCTTTTTAAAGGCACAAAAGGTAGTTGGACAGTTGAGTCAAAAGCTATTTCAGGTAGGTGAGGGCAATTCCTTCGTTATGTCATTATCACTTAAGCAGATAAAAGGCCTGAAGTTAATTTGAGGTTTGATTTGGAAGATTTTGCTGTAAACAGACAACATGCGGTCAAAGGAGCTCTCCATGCAGGTGAAACAAGCCATCCAGAAAAAAACCATCTGAGAAAGTGCTACAATATTAGAGCCACTCATAAGCCTCAAGAATAGAAAGGCTAGATTGGACTAGCCTGCTAAAACACTGAAAGCTGGTGCAGTAAAGGCCTGGCAGAGTATTAAAAAGAAGAAGACGCAGCATCTACTGATGTCCATGGGGTCAAGACTTCAGGCTGTTATTACCAGCAAAGGCTTTTAAAACAAGTATTAGAAACTAACAATTTATTTTCAGGTATTTAATTAGTTCAGTTGCTTTTGACCTGCATTTGAAATGAAGCGATTGTGTTAAGTTCCTTACATTTTTATGCAATCTTTTTGTTCAACCCAAAGTGCATAAAGATACAACTTAAAATTCTTTGCTAAGTTGTCTGTTACTGGTTCATCCTTGAGTTACGTATGCTGGATAGGTCAAAGCAAAAAAGATTTCCTCCAAAAATGTTCAGGACTAGATTGAAAATGAGCCAAAAACCATCCAGTGTCCAAAGACAAATCCACAGAAAGCTGAGAAAATTAGTGCTCAAGACTACCTTAAAAAATCAAATATGACGGCTTAGAATCAAAATTTAAAGAAATGAATTGTAGCCCAAGACTTTTGCACATACATAGCCAATAAGAACTGATTATATAACGATATTAGAGCTATGTATTTATGTTTACTACTGTTCTATCCCCCCAGAAAAAAATTGCATATATTTATTGTTTGTTATCAGGACGTCAGAAAAGGGACTCATAAGTTTTGGAGCCCTCACCCATTGAGGAAATATTTCTAAAAATATTTCAAAGTAATCCCTCCCCAAAATTAATCAGCAATTTCTATAACGCATTTATGAGTTTCAGTACAAGTGCAACTTTGGATATTAAGGCAAGGTGGGAAGCTGAGACTGGCACTCAAATCTCAGAGGACGCCTGGGAAGAGGTGTTCGGTGAAGCCCATCTCGTGACTCTGGGCTGTGGAGAGAATCCAAATGGAAGGTGGTCATGAGATATTTTAGAACCCCAGAGATAATGGCCAAAATGAAGCCTACAAATCCTGATACCTGCTGGCGAAATTGTGGTACTCATTTATGAACCCACTCACATATATTCTGGTCATGCCCAAAAATCTGCTCATTTTGGAATAACATATTTAAAGTTCTCAATACAGTTTTCCAACAACCACTAACAAAAGACCAACAGTTAGCCATTTTAGGAGTATTACCAAATGGTTTTGCAGGAAACAATAAAAAGTACCTCTTAAGAATCGTGCTTACAGCAGCACTAAAGTGTATTACTATTAAATGGCTGAATCTTGACCCACCTTCATATAATATGTGGATTGATAAAGTAAGAGAAATTTACCAGATGGAGGAAATAACATATACTCTGCGGATTCAGAGAGAGTTGTTTACTGAACGTTGGCGACCCATGCATGCTTTACTGTTTCAATAATTTAGCATAGGTCTGTTTCATTTTGTTCATTCATGGCTATTAAGATTGTCACATGTTTTTTAATATTACGTAAAGTTTCTTTTTTTGGGGGGGGTTGCATCCCAGTTTTGTGTTGTGTTTCCTAATTGCAGTTCTTATTGTAATCTGTATTTCTGCACTGCAGTTCCTGTAACTGTCTTACTTGTGAACATTGCAATGTTGTAAATTATAATAAAATCTGAGTTAAAAAAAGAAAGAAAGAAAAGGGACTCACACTCTCAGACACGACCAGTGTCTGTGTGACAGTTTTAAAGAAAGCGATCTGGAGCTGCAGCTAAATTTAATAGGATCTTTCTTCACTCATGCTCTGCCAGGTTTTCTGAAATTTGGTTACTCGTGTTTGAACAGTATTACTGACCGACAACTAGACAGACCGACAAATAAAGCAGAAGCACTGAAGCCAGCTACCTCTGCCTCACAGGAATAATAGTATACATTCTCTACCAGATGTTCAGGACTGTTGTTTGCTACAAGTAGATTTTTAAAGGAAATATTAATGCTCGTTGATTTAGTTTTATTTGTTTAGATCTTATATCACAGCATTAGGCCCAAAAAGGTTGGAGGTTCACTTTAAACTATCATTTGGTTAATGGGAGGGAAGAGAATATGGATTCTTCAATATTGCAAGTAAGGTGATAGTTCAGTATGGTGCTTTCTTGAAGATGGTTATTTTGGCAAAGTGGATTCAGATTTGAATATATATTAAGCTGATATGAATCATTTTTCACATTAGTCAAGGTGTGAATGGGTATATGCCTGCTCCTGTTTGTCATTTGTTTTAGAGCAAGATTGCATAAAACCTTTCTGGTCAAATTTCGTGAAACTTATTACTGTTTAATAATATATAAAAAATAACTGCCAGAGGCAGATGGTTGCTGTTGCTCTCACATTTCAGCTCTTTTTGGCTTTTTACCCACTGCAACTGCAAGCTTAGCTGCTGTCAGCTCATTTTTTTTATCTGACCTGGGTTCCCTGTCTGGACAATGGCGCTGCCTCTTTGCTGGTCAAGTGTGAGATGGAAAAGAAAGGATCACCTCCACCATGAATTTTACAGGGAGTGCAGAATTATTAGGCAAATGAGTATTTTGTCCACATCATCCTCTTCATGCATGTTGTCTTACTCCAAGCTGTATAGGCTCGAAAGCCTACTACCAATTAAGCATATTAGGTGATGTGCATCTCTGTAATGAGAAGGGGTGTGGTCTAATGACATCAACACCCTATATCAGGTGTGCATAATTATTAGGCAACGTCCTTTCCTTTGGCAAAATGGGTCAAAAGAAGGACTTGACAGGCTCAGAAAAGTCAAAAATAGTGAGATATCTTGCAGAGGGATGCAGCAGTCTCAAAACTGCAAAGCTTCTGAAGCGTGATCATCGAACAATCAAGCGTTTCATTCAAAATAGTCAACAGGGTCGCAAGAAGCGTGTGGAAAAACCAAGGCGCAAAATAACTGCCCATGAACTGAGAAAAGTCAAGCGTGCAGCTGCCAAGATGCCACTTGCCACCAGTTTGGCCATATTTCAGAGCTGCAACATCACTGGAGTGCCCAAAAGCACAAGGTGTGCAATACTCAGAGACATGGCCAAGGTAAGAAAGGCTGAAAGACGACCACCACTGAACAAGACACACAAGCTGAAACGTCAAGACTGGGCCAAGAAATATCTCAAGACTGGTTTTTCTAAGGTTTTATGGACTGATGAAATGAGAGTGAGTCTTGATGGGCCAGATGGATGGGCCCGTGGCTGGATCGGTAAAGGGCAGAGAGCTCCAGTCCGACTCAGACGCCAGCAAGGTGGAGGTGGAGTACTGGTTTGGGCTGGTATCATCAAAGATGAGCTTGTGGGGCCTTTTCGGGTTGAGGATGGAGTCAAGCTCAACTCCCAGTCCTACTGCCAGTTTCTGGAAGACACCTTCTTCAAGCAGTGGTACAGGAAGAAGTCTGCATCCTTCAAGAAAAACATGATTTTCATGCAGGACAATGCTCCATCACACGCGTCCAAGTACTCCACAGCGTGGCTGGCAAGAAAGGGTATAAAAGAAGAAAAACTAATGACATGGCCACCTTGTTCACCTGATCTGAACCCCATTGAGAACCTGTGGTCCATCATCAAATGTGAGATTTACAAGGAGGGAAAACAGTACACCTCTCTGAACAGTGTCTGGGAGGCTGTGGTTGCTGCTGCACGCAATGTTGATGGTGAACAGATCAAAACACTGACAGAATCCATGGATGGCAGGCTTTTGAGTGTCCTTGCAAAGAAAGGTGGCTATATTGGTCGCTGATTTGTTTTTGTTTTGTTTTTGAATGTCAGAAATGTATATTTGTGAATGTGGAGATGTTATATTGGTTTCACTGGTAAAAATAAATAATTGAAATGGGTATATATTTGTTTTTTGTTAAGTTGCCTAATAATTATGCACAGTAATAGTCACCTGCACACACAGATATCCCCCTAAAATAGCTAAAACTAAAAACAAACTAAAAACTACTTCCAAAAACATTCAGCTTTGATATTAATGAGTTTTTTGGGTTCATTGAGAACATGGTTGTTGTTCAATAATAAAATTATTCCTCAAAAATACAACTTGCCTAATAATTCTGCACTCCCTGTAGCTGTGATGCCCCTGTCATTGTTAATGTTGTTACTATGTAACCAACCTTTTTAAATGGAACTGTTCATTTCAGCCAGCTGCCATCACAAGTGATGGGCAAAAACTGTGTAACCAGCAAGTAACCAAGACTTTTACTGAAGAAGAATTTTACTGAGTAGTTCCGTTTTCTTTCGGCACTTTGGTAAGTTGAATAGCTATCCTGCTATAATACAATTTGATTCTGTGACTAAATTTTGTTAAAAAGTATAAAAGGTACATTTAATTTGTAGCATTCCCATATCCTTTACTAGAAAGTGACCACAGAGAGTTGATCAGGTTCTATAAATCTAAACATTGACTGTGTGCATTTCATCCACAAATTTATATCTTTACAGCCAATATGTGATGTTAAGCATTTTATTGAAAATTAATTGAGAGACCTTTTTTTCATCTCCCTTGGGATGCTCTGCTAAACCTTAACTGTAGCCACCGTCAGCTTCTTGTAGTTTGTTGGCCATGACAACTGACACACTTATCAATTGCCCAATTACTTTTTAACCTTTGAAACTGAGGGCGTGTTAATCAATGCAACACATTTGTTGAAGTCCTGGAATTAAAGCTAAATGTCTGCGCTTTAATCTTTCTATATTTTTTGGATTCAACAGTAGTGGTATATGGAGGCAAAAATGCAAAATTTCTTATAGACCTAAGTCTGTTTATTATTGGTCATAATTTATGGTCAACAAGAAACAGGAGTAAAACGTTATTCTTCAGATCTTACACTATGATTCTCGTTACTTATTCTTCTTTTGACCAAAACCAATCACACTCAAAGCGATTGAGCTCACGGTGTTAAAGGTTGTGAATTAGAACTGCTGCGAGTATGTGCTGTGGGCTTTGGTCTGTTGAGGTACTCTGAGAGGCTTTTGGTAATCCCTCCCCCGTTTCTCGGTTTATTTCCCTCAGCGAAAGGGTTTCTCACCTAAGCCAGAGGTGACAGAGGAGGGCTGAAAACTGCAAGGAGGGAGGAGAAAATATGAGCCCGAGTAATATGAGATGGGCACCTTGAACCCTCAAACGGGCGGATCTCTACCTTTCTAAGTGATAGTGAAAGTTTATCCATAGCTGTTTGCCTTTTGTTTTTAATCTGTGTATTTCTTTGATACTTCCTCCTATGTCGAGCTCCCTCTGTGATTCAGCCCCCTCTGGAGTTTCACTTTGTTTGTGTACAGCGAAATGCTAAACAAAGAACCGAAAGGGGGGTGGGCTGGGGGGCGGGGAGGAAGCAGAACAACAGATTGAGCAGGGAAGATAAAAGAAGAAAGCACCCCGAGGAGATAATAAAAATATCTCACCTTACTCCCTCATCCTCTCCCTCTGCGATAACACCCTCTCCTTTCCTCCTTTTGTATTACTATCACTGACACTGTAGGAATTGTCCTTCACAAAAAGCACTTTATTTGACTGAAGACAAATCATGAAACTCTTAAATTTATAAAAGGAAGTAGCAACCATATCTCATCTGACAGTTCTTTACTAAGCAGCATACTTAGATATAATGTAGACCCAAGAATGTTTATAATACAGACTAAATCTTTCCTTTGATTTTCCCGTCGTCTCTTTGACCTCGTTTGTTTTCCGAAGAGCGGTGACATGTCATCTGACATGGCCTCTCTTGGAGAAAAAACCCCATCCTTCCATCCCTTCTCCCTGCGTCGTCCTTATTATCATTGCCTGCTCATAACCACCCCTTGCGCTTTTCATAACAGCCCTCTCTCTGTCATCCCCTTCCCGTTCATTTTTTCTCTCCCTCTCCGTCTGTGCGTCGACTGGTTTACAGTGGTGACAGTAGATAGTTTTTAATGAGCAGTAAGATGTGGAGCAGAGATCACAGTGAGACAGGACGGCACAGCCTGGCATCCAATTCCCATTACTCATCCATTATTCACACACCGATTTTTATCTCTGGGATGAGGACTTTCATTTTGAAGTGACATTCAATTTTCATGTCCCCAATCAGCATAAAGCTGCATTTATTTTGACAAAAGACATCTGTGTCACAGAAAGGGAATTTTTTGCGCAAGGAACGAGTTCATTGAAGTTACAACCAGTTCGGCTTCCTTCACAGCAAAACACAAAGAAAACCGTAATGAGAGACACGTGAACTATTGAACCTCAAATCTATAGGTTACGCTTGATCTCCTACTGAATTTGTAAGTTTACTCACTTCCAAAGAAATAAACAGTCTCTAATTTTTATGGTAGTTTAATTTTAATCGAGAAGCTAAAACAAAAACAAAACAAAACTATACGAGGAATAGAGCATGAGGGAGAACACAACAAAGGGCAAGACTGAGACAATATGTACACACAGACGATAACGAGGGAACAGCCAGCAGAGATCAACTGAAACTAATTACAAATGACAAGACAGGGGAAGTAGAGATGAATACAAAGCACAAGAGACGAGAGGTCATCAAAATAAAACAGGAAATGACATAACAGACTAAAAGGATCTCATTTCACAGTAAAAAAAATAAATAAATTCAGATATATTGTTATAATGCTAATGTGCAGCACATACTCATGCACAAAAAGCATGAAGTAAACACTCTGTTATTAAAAGTTTTATTAAAGGTAAAATGAATCTCCTTTCCATATTTTGTTATTATTTGGAGAAGTTGCATTTGCTTGTATTTTCTTACTCCACCTTGGTGACTTGTTGTGAACTGATGTTATGTTAAAAAAAGAACATGAATTATTTTCCTTTGTTCCAAACACTTTGGAAGCACAGCCTTTCGGCAGGTCATTTACTGAGGGTGGGACTCTATAAGAAATGTATTAGTATTTATTTCTGCTGTAGTGAGTATACAGAGGAAGGAAAATCGTAGTGTTTCGGCCATCGCTCCGCTCTGTTATGGAGGTGCTACACAGTATATCTTCAATAAAGCAATGCAAAACTAATTTTTAAATGCTGAAGGGATTAGCAGAAAGAATAATCATGTGACTTGTGAAACCTGGTTGTTTCAAAAGTCACAATAAGGAAGTGTAAAACAAAAAAAACAAAAAGAAAAAAGACGCATTGTTAACGTTGTTATAGTTTATAGTTCAATTATGACACGTGACTGATGATGGGGTCAAAATGTTTTTACATTTCTTTTAAACTCTAATGAAAAGGCAAACCTGATACGGCCTTAGCAGCGCACTATTTCCATCCAGCACTTTAACCCGGGCCGACTTTATTTAACTGAGAGATTATATTTGAGGAATATGTGCAAAACCAAGTATCCAAGCAACAACAGTGGCACTGTCCCTTTTATCTTGTTTGCCACCTCTGCTCCACAACCTTTCCTCACCCTTGAGCGGTTATTGAGGGGATCCAATTTTTGTTGTTCTTTCATTTTGAAAAAAATAAAAAAAAATAAAATAAAAAATAAAAAGTGCCCTTGAGCAAAACCCCTCGACCTCAATCTAATCCGGTGAAGCTGCTCAGTGACCATCAGTATGACAGCGAGGGTGCAGATGGCAGCTTTTCAGCTTTCAGTGTTTGTATGTTTAACTTGCACTCCGTCACATACACGGCTCTCTAAGTCATCCAATTGAAAAGAAGAATGTGCTCAGTATGAACTCGAGCCTGTTTTTTTTAATTTTTTTTATTTGAGCCCCGTTTTTACATTATTAATGGGATTCAAATGCAGTAATTTAGTATCCCATTTTATTGGTAAATCATTTATTTAAGAGTTCAAAATTAAGGAATACTTTAGTGCACATTTTTTGTCCTGTTGGGGAAAAAAACGGAATTTGCTTTAATTTGACTCCTTTTATATTTTCAGGCGAGTTTGGTGAGGTATACAAAGGTCGCCTGAAACCTGTGGGGAAAAAAGAAATCCCTGTGGCCATCAAGACCCTGAAGGTGGGCTACTCTGAGAGGCAGAGGAGGGACTTCCTGTCAGAGGCCTCAATCATGGGCCAGTTTGACCAACCAAATATCATCAGACTGGAGGGCGTGGTCACCAAGAGCAGGCCTACGATGATAATCACAGAGTTCATGGAGAATGGAGCACTGGACTCATTTCTCAGGGTAACTGCTACACTTTAGACCACTTTCAGGATCGGGTCATTTAAAGGTTTGATTAAGGTTCCAATGAGGGGAAATTCCCAAGGAATAAGGAGTGCGACCGCACAGCTACTGTCCAGAGAGGGTCGATGTATTTAACCATTAATATAAACTGCATCAACCCCGACATAGCCAAGCTTACTAAAGTTTAATAATTAAGGCTTACTACACTTTTCTCCAACGTAAACAGGAGAAATATAACTGAAAAGAGGGAAAAAAGGCTTTCCACACTTACAGCAAGTTTTTGCCTAGCGACTCTAAGAACAACCATCACTTGTCTGGACAGCACTGCTCAGCAGCTCAAGGTGCTAATGGTGTGGTTGGTCAGGTTCAGTTCCCAACCATTTATCATCTAGAACTCAACATGATGCTTAAGAAAAATGAAGATAACATCACCTTCAGCCTGACAGGAAGAAACACACGATTTACAGTCTGAAATACAAATGATAAAAATGACGATTGAGCATCACACATTGACATGGTACAGTATTATATCACATGCTTTTGGGATATTTAATACCTCTACCAGATCTGGATCTGTTCATTTATTAGGCATACCTAATAAACCGGTAACTGAGTATAGGCACCTTCACCTTCGGTTCAAACTAAATAACCAAACAGAGCAACAGTTGGAGAGAGGAGGACTGTAAGTTTTTGAAGAAATAGACACAAAGACAGAAATAGCCTCCTGCGCTTCCCTTTCTCCTCTCTTCCTTCCTGTGCTCTTTCCGCCTCATCCTGCCAGCCTGACTGTCTGTCAGTCTGTCCGTCTCTTTGATCCTGCCCTCCTTTTGAGGCGCCTCTAAAAACAGAAAGAGAAACTCTTTGATGTTTGGTTCTCACAGCGTGACCCCTTTTGACTCAGAAATCACCCGATGACTCATGCACACATACATACACAGACACACACATTCACAAACACAATGATCGATCTTCCTGGTGTTGCTGTCCTAGCGTGACCATCTTGGAGGCACAAGACCCAAAAGATCAATGCCGTGTGTGTGTGAGTGTGCCTAGAAGAAGGTCTTTGCCTGCAGAGGATTAGGCTAGAGGAGCATCAAAGGTGAGGTTTGATGCGCAAAGTGAATTAAAAGACACACACACACCTTCGACTGCAGAGATGTCAGTGGGGGATGTCAGTGATGTTTATAAGAAACAGAGACAGCCTGGCCCAGAGGTGAGGTAGCAAAAAGGCAAATATTTTGAGTTTTATCAAAAAATGTTTCATAAATCCAACAAAGCCTCCGGCAGCTCTAAACAGGAACTTTCTTAACCAAGCCACCTTTGTATAGTCTTGGTCAACTTGCTTTCGTTCTTTTCTTCTCTCTTTCTTTTTTTTGTACTTCTTTTTCTTATTCAGTACTATGCAAAAGTCTAGAGCGACCCTTCATTTCTTCATATTTTTTTATTCCAAGGAGACTGACTTTCTTTAAATGTTTCCAAGCGGTCTTGAGCAATGGCTTTCCAGACTTTCTGAAGGTCTTCCACATTTTTTTTTCTTTGGACATTGGCTGCTTTTTCATTCATTTTCAATCCAGTCCTTCCACCTGCCCATTTTCACATGAATGCTTGTTGTAACTCTGAATTAACAATCATTAGGAATAAAAAGGAACCTACCTCAAGGAATAAAGCACTGTTTTGTCCACACATGACATGCAGCTGGGCAAATAACCAACTTTAAATGATGTCTATAGGCAATTTATTATTAGCAGCTTGTCACAAAAACACATCATTTGTTCCAATTTCTTTATTTGAGTCTGCGAAGAATGCAGACCGTTCTTATTCCTGACGATTTGTCACGTCCCGAGGCATCCCATAGAAACGCAAAAGGTACTCTTCTGCGTCCCTTTGATATGCACCGGATTGTGGATGGAATTCAATAGAATGACACTCCTGGTGGTAACAAACGCTCCAGCCGTGTATTCCAGTCCAAACCCAACCTTAATCCTAACTCTAACCATAGCCTTATCTCTAACCTTAACTACAGTCTTAATTGTATCAGATAGTGTTTTCTAAATCAATTAATGATGAGAAAGTAAAATAAAGGTACATGTGTAGATTCATTCCCAAACGGTTGTCATGTTTCCTGACATTTCCGAACGTGTAACACACAGAGGGGCTGGGTGGCCGAGAGCGTAACATGCCGAGGATTTGTCACACACACACACACACACACACACACACACACACACACACACACACACACACACACACACACACACACACACACACACACAATATGTTACATTTTGGGATGAGAACGTGTTGGAAGAATGCCAAGAAATGATAAGAAAAAAATCCTGCAAAGACCTGACACAGGACCTGAGAGATGCATCTGCTGATCCATCTGCTGTTTAATGAAGCCTCATCAGAAATAGTCTCAGTGGAAGGGTGGCTGTCAAGAAGCCATTGTTAAGGATGGGAAGCAGGGAGAAAAGGTTCTGCTAAATTACACCAGAATTGGACTGAAAATCAGTGACAACAGGTCTTACGGATGATGATGAATCCAAATTTGAAAGTTTTAGTTCAAATCCTTTGGGGTCATTATCTCACAGTGTGAAATGCTTTGTGGCAACTGTTGTCATTTGGTGCTATGTAAGTAAACCTGAACTGAGAATGAATTGAGATCCTCATCAGCATGTACCAAGGAGGTCAGGAATGAGGTACAGCAGTGAGTGTCTACAGCCATCTGTGAAATACTGACTTTGACACGATTTGGGGCTGCACTTCAGTCAGTGAAATGCAGCCACCATCCCATACTATTTATACACTATCTGATTGGCAACAGCTTCATTTTTGACTATGACAATGACCTCAAACACATTGTCAATGCAGTAAAAGCATAACTGGATAGAAAAACACACAATAAACACTATCAGTCATGGATTGGCCTCCCCAGAGCCCGGACCTCAACATTATTGAAGTAGTGTGGGATCATCTTTACAGAGATCAGAACAAAATGCAGCCAACATCCAAAGAGGAGCTTTGAATGTCCTAAAAGAAGCCTGGAGAAGTATTCCTGAAGATGACTTGAAGAAATTACGAGAAGGTTTTTATAGAGTTTGAGTATTTGGCTATTAGACCTCAGCTGAAGCTACAAAGTAGGGGAGGGCCCAATGTTGCTAATAGGACAGGACCTCCTGGAATTTACATACAGGTGGTGGCAGAGAGGACGCAGATGGAGATTTTGAGTTTCTGAGGAGACTTGTCACATGAATGAGAGTCTGAAAGGCACTATGGCAGAGAAGCATTGAGTCAAAGGCTGATTGGCTAGCAGAAGACGTGCAAAAAGAAAATGCTCAGAGCGATGATGACAGAATTAAGTTTGAAAGCGTGGAAAAGCCAAAGTGATGTAAAGAATAGACTAGCAGCCTGAACACTCAGGAATGCAGACAGATGAATGTGAAAAGCTTTTCCTTATTGAACTTCAGCATAAACTGCATTTCAGGCTGTGATAAACAATAAAGGTGGTCATGCACCTTGTTTGCTTAAATTTATTTTAAACTAGCTGACATCCAGCTACATCTGACGGCAAAAAGGCTTTGTAGAATTTCCAGCTGTCTACTTTGTATTGGTCCAAAATGCCTGCTGTAACACTTTTATCACAGCGTTTCAATTAACTCTTTTCAGGGTGGTTTTCACACATGCACTGCTGCCCTGAACTATTCTGTTCGTCACCCGACTGTGAGCTCCGTGTGGGGAAAAAAGCTAATATCCCACATGGTCACAGTAAACAGTCTTGAACCCTGCAGATCCTTTGTACAAAGTCTATGTGATGTTCAAGAGAAGAGTGCAGGTAATAATCTGGAGTGGTTATCTTGTTTCCTGCCTCTTGCACACCCTTTCCAGGACGCACAACTATCTAAACCAAACAGGGCATCTGAAGTTCAAAAAAGCGTTTGAAGGGAACTCTCTACGGTTGTGTGCCGCATGTGAGGAAGGTCAACTGCAGATCACTGCCCAGAGTTCATGTGTGAAAAATAGCTTAGTAGTAAAAGCATTTGTTATATTAGCGTTGACACAGTTTGCAATTTCTTGGTCCCTTTTCAGAGTTTTTTTTAATTACCGTTATTTATTGAAGGATAGTCGTCGTGCTTTGAGTATATCACATTTACACACCTGGAAGCTGCAAATTTTAACCACAGTCTGACTTGCTGGGCTCTAGGGGATTAAAGGCCTTTCCTAAGGGCACTACAGTGCCCAAGGAGGGAAGGTCAAAGGGATTCATTTTCATTCTTCCACCTAGATTTTAGCCTTCCGGTCATAAACCTGTTTCTGTAACCTTCTGGCCAACACGCAGCAGGACGTGTGCTTGAAGATTTTAGTGTGTCGGTGTATGCAAAGTTATTAAAATAGTCAGAAGTAAGAAGCAATAGTTGGGTTTCAGATGCTGTATTTTAAGCCTGTGCCAGCCTCTGCCAACACGAACACAGTATGAGCAAAGAAGTGAAAGCAGAAAATGGAATCTTGCAAAAGATTAAGTTCAAGTTTTTTCTTACTTGCATCATCTTGATCAAATTCTTTTTATGCAACTGTAACACAACGTACCACATTTACACACCATCATCTATGCTGCAAATAGGGAAGGGGATGGGGGGGTAAAAAATGTTTTTCTCTTATGACATTTTCTGTGAAGTGGTAATAAATCTTCTTACCTGCAAGATTCTTTCTAAAGCACTAAAGTGAAAAAACCTGATAATGGAAAATAAGAATAATCCTGTCGGTTCATGGTTTCACAGCAAAATGATGGGCAGTTCCCAGTGATCCAGCTGGTTGGTATGCTGAGGGGCATCGCATCTGGAATGAGGTACTGAGACTCACACCCAGACGCACACACACACACACGCGCACACATACCCACTACAGAAATCCATTTTACTATAAAGATGGAGAAGAAACTTTTCCTAATCTTTCAGACATGGGTATGAGGATTTAGATTTCTTTTGGCGATATCAGTTCTTTCAGATGTTGAGATTTCATGTGGTGATATTCGTGCTGTCTGGTCATGTGCATCAGCAGCTTGAGATGCGCTGTCTCCACATCCTGACGACTCCTTGCACGGACACATACATTGATATGAGCACATAAACACATGCAACCTCCGCTATACGCTGCATTTGAATCCACTGGTAAAACTGCAGCTTTTCAGCTTGGCAGACTGACAAATGCTCACACACACACACAAACTCACGCACACTAGAGCCTATCTGTGTTAAATGCAGGCTGTGATAGCACAAAAACATGTTACTGTATACACATACATTAAATCCTATTCCTGTTTTATCGAAGGTAGCTGGCAGTGATAACATGCACTCACAGGCAAACACACACACACACACACACACAACTCTAAATCCCATTACCTTTTTATAGTAGCCTAGGTAGCTGGCTACAGATAACACAAATTCATACAATAACTCCTGTTGATGTTACAGGTACCTGGCGGAGATGAGTTATGTTCACCGGGACCTGGCAGCTCGAAATATCTTGGTTAACAGTAACCTCGTGTGTAAGGTGTCTGACTTCGGCTTATCACGTTATCTGGAGGAGGACACCTCCGACCCCACCTACACCAGCTCGCTGGTACGTAAGCTAAAAACACACTAACGCTTCCTTCTGCATTCCTTCATTCTGCAGACCAAAGGTGGGCAAAATGTTTGTTGCAGTGGTAGCTTTTCTTTACCAGGATTCTGGCCTGTTACTCACATTTATTAAAAGATAAAAAGATGCACCACTTAAGAACTTTGGTCTGCCACAGTTTAACACACAGAAAATGAAAAGTCTCTGGATTGGTGAAAATGCAAATTTTAACCATTTTATAAGTAGGTCAATCATTTTAAAATAAAGTTTTCAGTTCAGTTCTGTCATTAAGAACTACCAAACATTTCTTTAAATAGATTTCAGTATATTGATACACTCAATATACACATTATTAGGTACACCTACCTAGTACCTCTTTTCCCTTCACAACTGCATTCATTCTTCGTGGCACAGATCATGTTGTTAGCGCCAAATTTTGACCGTACTATCCGAATGTTGCAGCAGAATTTAGGATTCATCAGACCTGGTGCCATTTTTCTAATCTTGTGCGTTGTCCAATTTTGGCAAGCCTTTGTGAATTGTAGCCTACCACGTTCAGAGTCACCTAAATCACCTTTAAATGCAGCTTTACTTGACCATGTCTTCTAATGCCTAAATGCATTGCACTGCTGCTGTGTAATTGGCTGATTAGGCATTAGGTTGTGTTGATGAGCCGTTGAACAGGTGTACCTAACAAAGTGGCAAGTGAATGTATATAGAATATGTAGGAAAGGGATAAGATTTTTCCTATCCAAACCATAGTGGTTTCAATTTGTAGTCCATTTGTAGTCCAAGTACTGTCGACCAATTATATTTGGCAGTCAGAACTTTCTTTGTCATTACTCATCTACCTTATAGAGGCCTTTATATAAAATGATTGAAATGTATTTTCCATATATATACATACTTTTATATGTTCAGCAATTTGACTGTGATATGTGTTGTTTCCTACACACTTATCTGTGTGGTGCAGCCAGTCTGGAATCTTAATTAAGACTAAACTGATAAAGGCCGGATTGAAGTTTGTCCTGCGGGTGGTGAGTTGGACATTTTAGAAAGACTCAGCTTGTCAGATCGCCGGTTTGTCACACCGATTTTTTTATCAATCTAAGCCGGACTTCACGGGCCCGCTGCCGTACCTCAGCTCATCTGTGCTTTGAGCTGAATGTTAATACTTTAAATTAAAATGTGCTTGACTGATTACATTAAACATGTTGTCACACACTGCTTGAAGGTAACAATTTGTGTTATTTGTTTCTGCCGCTTCTCACTCGTCCCTGTGGTTGTGACTGTACTCACAAGCTGCCAAGTAGCTTGCTCACTAATAAAAACTATGTTGAGCCACTCATGATGTTCATGTTACAGTTTAGATGCCTTTGCACACAAAAACGTTCACTGAGTCTTTTTTTTTTTTATATCCCGCCAGTCCTGCATTGGCCATTATCCTATAGACCTATAGGCATAGACCTGGCCGTTCATATTGTTCACGCAGCATGTTAACCCTGAGGCAGATAAAAATTCAATTATAAGCTTAAGAGATCATAAATGTAAGCGATATTTTGAACTCGCAATGAAAAATCAGAGTACCGTACTCCATGGGAAGAATAAAGATTCAGGCTATCCTATTGGGAAACAAATATATTTCATAATTTAACCCTCTGAGGTCTAAAAACGGATTTATGCTTTTGTGTTAAATCTACAATGCAGGTATGTTGTAACTGCAAAACCCTCCACAGACGTGTAATGTACTTACACATAAATGTAAGGACTATTGTGATTGGCCTGTTCAGTACCGTTGATTCATCCTGTGCATCCAACTACGTTTTTTCTGCACTTTTTGAGTTTATTAGTGAGAAAACTAATAATCAGAGCCTCAACCTCACAACCTGACTCACAAGTCAAGAGTGGGCCATGGGACAAGGACATGAACACTAGCACTTTGGTTGTAGGAGACTACATTGGTTGCATCGTTGACTGGACCAAGATTCACCACAGAAGTCTAAATTAGTTTTAAATCTTCATCAGTGATGTCACTGACTTAAACTTTAGCTCCTGTGAATCAAAAATATGTAAGTTTTGTTTTTATTTCATTGCTTTCCAAGGTCTTGTTAATCAGGGAACAGATTCATTTTGATACATCAAAAACTATTCACATTATTTTTCCAAATAAAAATTCTGTTTTAGCCTTTCCAAGGGAAGGGTACAGCCTGGGAGTAGTTTTGAATCTCCTTAAACAAAAACAACGCGACTCAGTGGGCTCACTTGTGTTTGCTTGCATCTATCTGTCGTGAAACACGGTGTAACCTCCTTACTAGGATAACACAGATTTGACAAGAAACAACAGGAAAACTAGATTAAACTGAAACACGCAAAGAAATAAATCCAAACCAATATTCAAAATGCAAACAAAACCCAGAGCACAAAACAAGAAAAGTTTTTGCCTGATGGATTAAATACACACTGCCTTAAACTCGTGTCGCTTGCCTGACTTAAAAAGGAGTCTATTAAAAAGAAATGTTTGTCTTAAGCATTTCCTTTAATATATTAAATTTGATACAGCAGCCAAACCAGCATATGGTAATGCATCCTTTTATCCTGGATTTCACTCAGCAGTCAGAAGGAAGAAGTTTTTGTTTACGCACTACTTTGTCTTCATTAGAAAAGACAACAGCAGGCAGATGTGGATTTGTCTACGTGAAGCAGGTGGATGCTATCAAGCATCTGCTTTGTCTACACTTCCACACTCGAGAACAAAAAAAAAGTAGGAAAATTCATGTTGCCTGCCCTTAAATTTCCCCTCAAATTTGTCATTTTTCTTTCTTTTTTTTAAACACACGTGTGCATAATGCACAGTTTTCAACACCGTGTCTGATAAGAGACTTCAGCTAAGAACTACGTGACGAATACGTAAGCAGAACTATCAGGTATAAAGCTACAAATCCTTTTTTCCTTCCCTACTGCCCTTAGTTATTTATTTCCTTCTTTTCTTCCCCCCCCCCCCTTTTTTTTTTTTCTCTCAGGGAGGTAAAATCCCCGTGAGGTGGACGGCACCAGAGGCGATCGCCTACAGGAAATTCACGTCAGCTTCAGATGTCTGGAGTTACGGGATCGTCACCTGGGAGGTGATGTCATATGGGGAGAGACCTTACTGGGACATGAGCAACCAAGATGTAAGTCACCACCTGCTTGCCTGAGAGAGGGCGAGAAAGAGACTCGTAGTTTGAGTTCTCACTGATGTCTGCGGCTGTAAAATATCGTGTACGTCTGCTCCAGCACGTGTGTGTGGCGTTCGGGGGAAGTGCTTGTTTGTTTCCTCCGTCACAGCAGGGCGTCTGCATGTCTAGGAAACACACATGGAAAATGAGGACATCAATTTAAGTGTCACAGAAATGTTTGTTCCATGAAAATCAGACCAAAAGGCAAAGGATTTTTCTTTCTTTCCTGGGATTTTCTTCTGGGAATATTTCATGGTAGTGACAGCTTTATTCCAATTACCTTCACAGTGTGAGCAATTTGCCGCGGCATTTCTTTACCTTGCGCTCTCCTTGTGTCTCGTCATATCACACTGATGTTTATTAAGTGTTCTGAAATCATTCATCCTGCCATAGTCAGTTCACATTTACTGGTTTTGTGTTAAAAATGGTAACACTTTATCATAACTATGGTGAGTACATATTAAATGTATAGTTGAACTTTAGTTAATAGCTGAGATAACAGTTATATTCACACCATAGCATAATAGTGGAGCTTGTGAGTAGTTGTGCATAAAGCAAACTGCAATGACAACCATAAGTGATGCAGGACACAAACACCTTTCACTACCACCCAACCCGTCGTCTTATTTGAATCTGTTTTAAAATCTGTTTTACCGTCATCACAGCTGTCAAAATAATGACTCTGGATTCAGTATTTGTTAACCATTTATACCTTTACAGTAACCATTCAGATAACAGACCAGTTAGCCAATTAGGAAATATCATTTCACCTCATTTTATTGTTGCTTTTTTAAACCGTAAAGGAGTCCTGTTATATATTTAATGGTTATTATAAAGTGGTGCCAGAAACACGTGTACTTTCTTTAGGGTGAGAATTCAATTTATTATTATTTTTATTTGTATTTATTTATTTTCTTGCCTGTCCCGTTTGGCTCTTTTGCCATCAGAATTATTGTCTAAAGGCGAAGAAAGATGCCCAACGGATTTACTTTACCAAATGGACCATCCCAGCCTTGCCGTAATGGTCTATTTGATTCACCTTTTATTGTTTATTTTATTTTCACTTGTTAAATACGGGACAGACTTGACTGGGGAAAAGAAAGGGGAGAAAGAAAGGGAAAGAAAAACAGCGGAGAAGAGGGACGGGGATAAAGAGCAAAACAAACAAAAAACAACAAAAAAAAGCAGACAAAAAACAAATATATCAATCACCTGGATCACCTGTTGAGAAAGAAAAAAGAGAGAACAAGCAGAAGAAAAAAAAGAGCAACATAATAAACAACATCATGATGATCTATGGGAATGTAACAGTAAATACTAAATATTAAACATTATTGTGCAGCACGAGAATTCAATTTAACTGTAAAACCCTAAAGGGGATGCAGTGCAGTCCATGAAAATGAAGGTTCCACAACACTGGACTGCTGACGTTTTTATTTTTAAGTTTCTGTTCTGAGAAGAAACATGATGCGCAGATTATAGTTACAGCACTAAAACCCACTTCAAATCACTGAAGCTTTAAATCCAAATTCTAGCTTTCTCAAATGATATATCTAATGACTTTGACACAAAGGAGGCTGGGGATTTTACAAGCTTCCAGTTTCGCTCGAGTCAAAACTTTAAAATACATTTTATTGCCGCAGAAAATCTGCCAAGCAGCTTCTAGTGTGTTTATTACCCCGGGTAAATATCTTCAATCAGCACCTTCTTAACTCTATTTCAGGAAACCACAGCCCCGCTCCAGCAGCATTTACCTGGCTTTAGACCTTGTTAACTCTATATATAAAGTTTTCTTTGTAGGATGAACTGCCGAGAAGTTAATCAGTGGCAAGATCCCCATCCTAACTATAAGACTGAGACATAAGTCTTTATTTAAATCATAAAACTAATTCATTTCTTTATTTTTCTCTGTGGAGCACCATTTTCCCCATGTAGCTTCTATATCACCTTAAACACCTCTTTCCCCTTCTTTCACACATTCACATTTTTCTCCCCTTGCAGCTCCCCCAGTCTTCTCCCCCATGCTTGCTCGCAAGCAACAGAAGCAGCCTATGCAGCAGTAATGACACAGTCAGTATAATGATAGAGACAGATTTATAATGGCAGAGACTGCGTATAATGATGGGGAAAGTGTGTGTTACCACTAACGAAGGTCTGCCGGAGCATTAACTATGCATGAATCTCACACCCTAAACTCACACATATGACACACACCCTGCTAATCCACACACACACATGCAATCATACATGTGTAAAGGCATGCACACACACACACACTTACACACACATGCAATTTCAAAGAAAACGGAGCGGGGAAATTGTCAGCGGAGCCACTGCAGGTGCTGTGTTCAACATGAATTAATCATGAAAGAGACCTGTGATGTTTCACTACATTCGCTGCTATTTTGATTGACAGTGGTGCTTAAAGTGAATTTATGCAGCACAAAGCCCGAGAAGTGTGCCGGGGTCAAGTAGAGTTCACTCAGCGAACAGACAAATCCCCCATGCTGCATTTACAGTAGGAGAAGCACCGCATTACCTCAGCTTACCGCGAGCTAGACTTCCAACTACACTGAGACAGACTTGTTACTTTACATTTACAGGGAATTGTGACAAAAAGAAGAAAAACACACACACACTAAAGTATTATTTCATTCTCACACTACTGTAGAGGTAGAAGTTTAGAAGTTTGGTCACAGACGTGCAAATCACAGCCAGACAAAAGGTGGAGCGAAAACAAAGTTTAGTAGGTCAATGATCAAAGCAAGGAGAGGCAGAGGAGTTCGAGGGGGCGAAAGCTGGCAGGAGTAAGTCCAGATACAGGCAGAGGTCATACATAAATGTAGGTAGGCAGGATAACATGACAAAAAGCTGGACCACTCTGGCAGGAATGCAAAACAGAAAATCTGGCAGTACTGTGGTTACAGGGCAGAAAAACAGGAGCAGGTGTGCCGGTGGATGTGGAGGTCAATTGATGGGGAAGGGTGGGTACACACCAGGGATTGTGAACCAATAAACAGTGAGTTGAAATAACTGTTGAGGCAGTGATTTGTAGACAAAGGGTCTTAGTTTTTGAATTTGGACAACCATTTTTTCTGAATAATCTGTTGCCAGTACACTGGGTGGGGATGTGGTGGTCGAGATGGCAGAGGTATAGAGGTATAGAGATAGTTTAGTAGTAAAAGTAGTTTGTAAAAATCGGAAATTATGTCAGAAGAACCACCCGCTCCCTGGAGCACTGAGTGATGGCAGAAGGAGCACAGCTGTCAGAAATCCCAGCACTGCCTTTCTCGGGTGATGTTTGCATTCTCTGACAACCAGCCATAGGTAGTAACCATCACTGACAGTTCCTCACTGGTATAAAGTTTGCAACCAGGTAGCTCTTAAGTGTGTATCTTCTTCTATCTTCCCATGATAGAAGAATATTCCTCTATAGCCAAGGGAACATGCAGCGTCTTTGATACCTACCTGGCATTGAGTTTGAAGATTGAGGCCAGACCAAGAATGTGGAATCACATGAAAGGTGACCGGCTAGGGCAAATTTTAGACCAAGCTCAAGGAAAACCGAACTCCTCCTTTCTGACACAATTGCGCAGACAACTCCAAAATGTTGGGACGTTTCTTTGGTCACTGTGACCAAAGAAAAAGATGCTCTAAGCACCCTCACCACAAGCCTACATGAGATAGCTCCTCGCAGTCAGGACAAGGCAGACACAAAAATCTTTCAGCACGTCAGGGTCAGATATTCTTCTAAGAGCCGTCAGCGTTCTACCAGCCCTTAAGGAAATTCGTGTGCAGCAGTTGTTGATTGCCTTTGGCTACGGACAGAATCTGAAGTCGATCCTTGTGCATGACCTTTGCCTATCTCTGAGACTAGAGAACAGCAAAGGGATTCTCTTCTTTCATGCTTTCACGGGCTGTGTTTTGTTGTTTCAGCCTTGCCCATCAAAGACAAGAAGACAGCTTAGCAGACATGGGGGAGTATATAATGAAGCATCTGATCACTTCGGCAAACTCAGCTAGTATCCACCAGCAGTGCATGTTGACATGTAGATATTAGAAAATTTTGTGGACAAGATATATAACAGGTCCAGTACATGACCTTGCAAACCTAGCAACTTTTTTTCAGTGTGCAGCTGCAGTTTCTAGGACCCAATACGTTTGAAGAAATGCTCTAGTGTTGTCTAACTTGGATTTGTCTATTTTCATTTACATTCGGCAGCTAATGTAAAGAAATGTAGTTTTCATAAAGCACGAGAATAACATTGAGTTTCCTCAGTATTGTTGTATTGATACTTAAGTTTTAATTCAATTTCTGCATTTTCCTTTGTTAGAAATAAACAGAAAAGCTCTGACAAGTCTTCACTAGGCCAAATCAAGTTTTACCTCAGATGTGTCATCAGTACAGTTCTGCCATTTATTCTCTTTTTATGTCTCTTGAGTATATATTAATCCACCTTTAATTTATAAGGCAGAAAAAGAGACTGATTGTATGTGTCTAAAGAGTGTGAAAGATGACAAGAAAGATGATAGTAATTGGATGTCTGAATCTGCTAGACAGAACATGTATAAAAGATGATAGAAGGCACTTTTTAAACCTTTGGGGCACACCACAATGGGAGTTTTAAACATTACAACGATTGTAATTACAGCTGGGGAGAAATAAAAAATAATAATTTCACAAATCTGACACAGGGGGCCGAATAATTTCAGATAATGGTTACTAAACGTGATATTTCCTTTCTTTGATTATTTTTAGAGTGGCGAGGCAGGTAGTTTTAAATTCCATGATGTTCTGGATAATTACATTCTGCACTCAAAGGTATCCTGACACATCTAGCACAACCTCTTTGCTTTACAAAATTCCTGCCTAAAAGTTTTCACAGGGAGAAAAAAAATCAAAACTTTGAAAGAGCTTTATCATTCTCAGTACCTGCACTGGCGTGATGAAATCAAAAGCTCCTCTGTGTAAAACTACCTGCCTTGACATCTGAGACTGCAGCAGAAGTTACTGCTGCTTAGAGATGAATATCTGGATATACTGTGCGACTGCACGCTGTGTCAGGATGAAGTTCTTAAACGGAAATTGGATCCTCTTAACTAATCCGAGTTTTCATTTTTATGTGGTTTTAAATAAAGCTGAACGAGGTAAGATCGTTCTATAAAAATATGCCTGTTTTTATCGACTGAAATCACAAAGGAGCCATAACACAGAAGACGTTCCACTCTTTGCCGTATGGCGGTCTGCCTGAAGCAAGTGACAAACAGCAGCGAGAGAGATCGACTCAGGGGGATGATCTTTTTAGCCCTTTAATATGTCGCACATCACAAACCTTCATATTTATGAAAACCTACTTTTGTCAAATGTATATCAAAAGCGACTAAATACAGTGCAATACTATATATCAAGATTTTAGGCTTTGATTTGGGCTAATTGGCTAACTCTTTTATATATTGTTAAATCCCTTGGCCTACAACTGGGCACTTTAGATACTAGATATGTGCTTATATGTCAGTCAAATATCACCATATCGGCTGATATCAGCCATGGCGATCATCATGGACGTAGCTAACATGACATCACTCATTGGTGTCTGAATTCCGTCTTTTATGTTTCATCAAGCACCAATGATTAGATCTTGGTTGGTGACAAAGAGTGTCTGGTCTGACTGTGAAACTGGCTTGTGACTGACAAGTCATTAGCCAATGAACATTCAGGTTTCATGCCATAGATAATCAGCCATTTGAAATATAGTATAACCGACATTAAAAACACAGATTCAATATTTTCAGTATGACCCAAATCCCAAAAGTGGCTGAGACCATAAATTCTGCGGGAAAAGTTTTTACAGAGGTCAAGGCAAAAAGCCCTTTTTCCAAATTTCTGGAGGACCGGAAGAGTTTTTGCAACCACAACTATCGCCATCTGGTGGCCTTTAGATAGAATGCAGGTTTATGCTACTTCCATGTTGTTTTCTTTTTGTTGACCAAGAAACTACATGCATGTTTTTTACTGTCTGTATTGCCAGTGACTGTTATAAATTGCAATTATAAAACTAAAGTAGCAAATTAAGATGCCCAAATGGTCTATAGAGCTATATCATTATCTATTATTATATCATTATCTAATCAATTTCTTCAAGTTTAAAAGTCTAGAGATCATTTAGAGATGACTGCTACCATATCACCCCAATAGAGAACTTTGCTCTTAGGGTGCTGGCTTCTGCCTCCCATTCTACTTTTTTAAAAGTAGAATGGGAGGCAGAGCCTTCAGCTTTCAGGCTTCTGTGAAGGCAGCTCCCAGTTTGGATTCGGGAGACAGACACGTCTCTACTTTTAATATAAGGATTAAAACTTTCCTTTTTGATAAAGCCTATAGTCAGGGCTGGATCGGTTAGCCTGGTTTGCTATTGGGGGCACTGAGTGTTTCTTCTTCACTCTGTTTCTTTTGCACTGTATGTCTTTTGTCCCGTCTTCCTCCTGTCACCCCCTGAGCCTGGTTCTGCTGGAGATTTCTTCCTTTTCCCTTCCCACTCTCATCAATTGCTTGCTCATGGGGTGTCATCTGATTGTTGTGGTTTTCTCTGTATTAGTGTAGGATCTTTACCTTACAATATAAATCACACTGAGGTGACTGCTGTTGTGATTTGGCGCTATATGAATAAAATTGAATTGAATGTACATTGTTTATAAAATAAAATTTGGCAGTTGAACTAGTCAAAACCCAAACAGGTGGGAGATAGAGCTGGACTCTTTGGAGCATGACCCTTGTGATGTGATTGGTTTTGAAAACTTCCTGAACACAAAAGTACCATAAGTTAATGACGGAGAGAAGGAAAGCTGTACAATAGTAGGTCTAAAGGAAGTACAAATTAGAAGGGGGAAAATAGAATACCAGGAATAGCACGGATTTAATAAGCTACATCTTTCTCATTAAACCTTGCCAAAGCTTTATTATAAAGATACTGATTATATAAGCTTTCCCCAGTGAGCCTTAAATATACATCATGCTGCAGTTTTCTTCTATAACCTTTTGTGGTCATTTGGGTCTTCTCCTTTTCCTGTGTGACTCTTCTGCTGTGCCCTAGGTGATAAATGCCATAGAGCAGGACTTCAGACTTCCAGCTCCCATGGACTGTCCAGTAGTGCTGCACCAACTGATGCTGGACTGCTGGCAGAAAGACAGAAACGCCCGGCCAAAGTTCCCCGATATTGTCAGCATGTTGGACAAAATGATACGCAACCCTGCATCTCTCAAAGCCGGCACCAACAACATGGTCCCTGGGTGAGCAGAGATACAAACTCATTTACATACACAAACACACTCTCCCTATCTTATCCCTCTGTTTCCCTCTGTTTTAAACTCCACGTTCTCTTGTATCTACTCTCTGCAGTCCTCCCCATCATCCCTTGTTAGACCGTGGAGCTCCAGACCTAAGCAGGGTGAGCTCAGTAGAAGACTGGCTGGCTGCATTGAAGATGACCCAGTACAGAGACTCCTTTCTGGGCTCGGGCTTCACCTCTTTGCCGCTCGTCACGCAAATCACAGCTGAGTAGGTTTAGCCATTAAATTGCCTCTATTTTTGTCTGTCTGCTTCTCTTTGCCTGAGTCTCACACTTAGCTGATCCTGCCAAGTCGGCATCTTTTTTGTTGGAAGACTGGTGGGGCAGCTGGTTGGCTGACTGTGTGAACACTTGTCTGTCTCTCTGTATCTGGCTTGCTTACTGCCATCCTTATTTTTTCTATGCCTCATGGTATAAAATGCTCCAAGTGCCATTATATTACAGACAAATAAAAAGCAATGTGTCCATGAAAGAAATTTGCACAGTTTAGCAGGGTTTAATCAATGAATGTACCTTCAGTTTTGTCATTAGAAGAAATGGCTTGATGACTTTTATCCTGTCTGAATTACCCTGCAAAGATTGCATATATGTGTGAGAGGTGTCTCTTTAATTCATTTAGACAGCTGTTGGGCCTGTCCTTAATTTTCTATCTGTGAATAGTCCACCCGTGGTTGCCGCCCTCACCTTTGACCAAAGCGCCAGACCTGGAGCTGGTCCCCATTGGTTACACTGTGGCTGTCTACCACTCCTAAAATAGCTAAAATAGGTCAAAAGCAGAGGGTAAATTTCACCAACGGGATTAATTAAGTGTATTTTAACACAGTTACGGTGTAATAAAGGCAGAGTTAGAATACTGAGTGAACTTTAAAATACTTTTCATGCAAAATGAATCACTAATATGAGAAAAATGGAGGGAATACCTACCTGAAGTCACTTTTTAGGAGTTTTTAATTAGGTATTCAGTCTCTAAAATAGTACTGATTTCAAATTTCTGCCCATGCTATGTTGCTATTACATAGCTAATATGTAGTAATGTACAGTACAGTGCAAATGTCTTTGACCGCCCATCATTTCTTTATATTTTGCTGGTAAAATGGAGAGTAGCTGCAGCAGTTTTTGAAACATGAGTAGAAATTATAGCATATAAGCCCAATACACAGTTATAAATATTGACTTTCTTCATAAACATCAGTATTTGGAATGACCACGTTTATTCTTCAAAACAGCCTCAACTTTCTTAGGTAAGCTTTCTTGTGCTTTCTTTAAGTAGTCTTCAGCAATAGTTCTCCAGGCCTCTCAAAGGTCATTCACAGCTCTTCTTTGCATGTTGGCTGCCTTTTGTTCTGTTTTCTGTCACGATAATCCCACGCTGCTTCATCTGGGCTCTGCGGAGGTCAATCCATGACTGATAGTGTTCCATTGTGTATTTTTGTCTGTCCAAGTATGATTTTACTGCATTGGCAGTGTGTTTGGGATCACTGTCATGCTGAAAAATGAAGCTGTTGCCAGTCAGGCACTTTCCAGATGGTATTGCATGGTGGACCAAAAATCTGATTTCCATCAGTTTAGACAGGATCCACAAACCCCCAAATTAGGACACTTTGCTCTGCAGATGGTGTTAGACACTCACTGCTGTAGTTACCTTCTGACCTCCTCTGAACATGTTAGTGATGATTTGAACAAGAAATTTCAAGTCTGTATTCATCACTCCATAAGACCTGTTGTCACTGATTTTCAATCTAGTTCTAGTTCTTGTGTAGTTTTGTATGATTTAGCCTTTTTTCCCTGTTTCGGTCCCTAAAGCACAGCGTCTTGACAGCCACCTTTCCACTGAGACCATTTCTGATGAGGCTTAGGCGAACAGTAACTAGAAGGGCTTCAAGATGCCTCAAATTTTCAGTCTAAATAAATCTTTCTGCAATGGATGGTGTACCTATTTATCGAATTAAGAAAGGAAGTTATTACACAGTATATGCTAATGCAGTAAACATTCAGAGTGTGTCTAAACTAGGGCTGTTTTTTCTTAACAGCTAACACTTACAGATATCGCCAAACATGCAAGCAATCACAAAGCTACTGTACTGAAAGGAGGACAGCTCTAAGGATACACTCACTGAATGTTGTGTGTGATTGTGCCAGTTCAAACTGTGGCTGCACAGAACGGGCAGATTGTGGGTTGCAGCTTTATGCAACCCACAATCTGTTATTTGTTACAGAAAACCAAAGCCATCCTTACATAAGAATTTAGTCAAAAATATAGTTTGGACTTCTCCACTCATCTTTGTGAAAACCAGTTTGGCTCGGATCAGCACCTCTTCAAAGTTTGTTAATTTTTTTTTTAGGTTACAGGTTTTAGTTTTAAGGTTAAAGCCGGTTTAGGTTACAGTTCGGATAATAGTGTGGCACTCAGTTGCGGTAGTTAAACTTAGAAGCAAGAGACATGAGAATGCATTAATGTCAATAAATGTCCTTTCAAAGTTAACCCACAAACATGCCCGTGTTTGTGTATGTGTGCCCCTGCACCCACGCACAGACTGGAGCAGGCAGCAACAACTCCTGACTGACAACCACTTTTAGCAAAAATATAAGAGCTGCTCATCGAAACAACTCGGCACTGCACTGAGGCAGGATTTGTGTATTGCGGTTTAGGCTTCGACACTCTGGCCTGTCATTCACTTTCAATGGGGTGACGTCATGCGTTACAGAACTGAATTGTGAATTCATTGCTTTGCTTTTTTTGTGGTGTTCATGCTGAAATCCTGAAAAAAAAGTTTTTCCAGTCCAGTCACATTTATTCAGATCCTCCAGCCATTCAAATCGCTTTCCAAATCCCGAGAGAGCGAGTTCCATTTCAATATCAAAGTGTAGCCGAAGTTGATAGTTGTGGTGAGCCATTAGCATTAACTGAGCTAGAGCTAGCTTAGTTGATGCTAGCAGTTTATTGAAGCCAAATACAAACAGATACAAACTTTAGAAGATTTATATATATCTTTTCCATATGGGATGACAATCGTGCCTACAAGGATGGGTGCCCCTACACCTTAGTCACACCCACTTTATAACTCAGTGATGGCCTCTCCTGTATCTTCCCTGTTAGTTAAACACAAGCTACTAATCTGTAGCAGTTACAAACAGACTCTACTACATGTTCAAGCTGTTGTGAGCACTGGCACCTTTTCTTGGCCAGTTAAAGCGCTGCTCATGTTTACTGTAGTGTTGATTTCCTGGTTTACAATCCTAGCAGTTCCAATGATAACCATATAAAAATTGATTTTTTTGTGCCTTTTTTGGGTAGTGACAGTAAACACAGGAAGCAGGAGATGGGTCAGGTGTAGCAGAGGGCCTAGGATGGTAAAATGGTAAATGGCCTGTATTTGTATAGCGCTTTACTAGTCCGGACCCCAAAGCGCTTTACACATCCAGTCATCCACCCATTCACACACACATTCACACACAACACTGATTTTGTAAATGGTGTACTACATGGAGTGTTCAATTTATATTTGATTGTTGTTATGAAGACAAACCTCATATCCGTATCTCTGTCTTCCCAGAGATCTGCAGAGGATCGGAGTGTCTCTAGCCGGACACCAGAAGAAGATCCTGACCAGCGTGCAGCTAATGAGGCACCAAGCCGATGATCAGTCTCCCACCGAATCCGTGTAGCCACACGGGGGAAACACTTGACCTGGGTGCAGTCTGTGAGCGAGCAGGCTGTCCTATACTTCCGTTTTTAAGCTCATACAATTAAGTTTGCTGCTTTTGGAGATCTCAATCACTTCACGCGCTTTCAAAAAAATCATCGTTAGCCATTTGTGTGTCTGCATGGACAGATCCGTCCACCAGTAACAGGATGGACTTCTTTTATGCCATTTAGCTTCGAAAACGAAAATGGCTCCTGGGAGAAATTCAGTGTAGATGCATTATTCTCACAAAGAGTAAAAACAAAAATAAGTGGGGAAAAAAGGAAAACTTACTGAGCATGAGGCTCTAAAATCATTACCCCCCTTTTTCCACATGCCAGCGTAACTGTGAATGCTATCACTGAAATCTACAGACCATTTAAACCATCTTGAATTAAAGGAAGATTGTTTTGTTTTTTTTGTTTTTTCATGAGGACATAAAACACTCTGCTTTGAAGAAAAAAGTGGCTGAGCAGACGTTTATATGAAGGGGCACAAACCGGACCAAAAGACTGACAAAAAGGGTTTTAAGAGACGAGACGCGCGAGCAGGCTTGTTAAATCCAGAGACTACTTCAGTGTGTTCCTGAAAAATTGCTACCATCTGAATCCTGACAAGAGCCAACCGTTTAAAGGGGACCTTTTTTAATAAAAAAAAAGCTATCTTCATATTGAAGAGTTTGTACATATTTGTGATACGGGATATTTCTTTCCTATTTGCTCATTAGCGTTTGCGTTCGCTAACAGCAACAGACAGTTCAGTGTCGCTGGAGTATTTGTGACTTCTCAACGATTCTCTTCCCCGCCTGAATCATCACTGGAGCAAATTCTGAAGTGCTGTGGACTGCAAACAAAAAAAGAAAGAAAATAGATTTCAGTGTTCTGGTTTTTTTCTTCTCCTTCTTTTTTTTTGTACTTTTCATGCAGCCATGAAAAGATAAACTCTTTCAGTGAAAGTGCTACCAGGGCCTGGCCTACTTAAAGTACTTAATTCACAGAGAACTCATAATGGATGATGTTTCACAATCAGCACAAATGCCCACTGAGTAAAGCCAATTAGAAATATTCAAACCATAGTGGTATGTCTCTCTTTTCTGAGCCAGGAATCAAAGCGCATGCATGCTTGGTGGCGCAGAAGAATAAAGCAGCTTAAGACTGTGGGTACTGTGTCATTACCAGTTATAGAGATTGCACCTGTTGTGAAAGCGCCGCGGTGTCCAGAGAATCTTTAAAAGACACCAAAGGTATCCAGTGTTCTTGTGATTTGGCTGCAAATCCTAAAGCCGCCTGCCAGCCAAGCGCAAAACCAACCAGAAATCCAACGCTCATGTTCTGTCCACGCGTGGAAACAGATCTTCCCGTCTAAACTTTGTCATGGCCGCCATCCAGGTGGCATTCATCGCTCAGCAGCAGGCAGCCATGCAGGACTCTTTGTTTTCATTCATTTTTCTTATTTGCCGGCTGCCGGACACGTTGCCGTCAGAGCCTGTTTTGACAGTCTCATTTCCCGATTGACATCTCCGATTAATACCGCCGCGTCAGTTTGCAGATGAAATGACAGGAAATGACCTATCCGTGTTCCTCATCTGCAGACGGCAACCTTTTCAGTGTCAGAGAAGAGATAAAGAGATCAAACAAGAAGAGATACAGTGAAATACCACATGCTTTCAGTGAAGAGGCAAAACTGGTGACTTATTTATCTTTTTTTTTTCTAAATACTGAAGCTCGTCCTAACAAAATATGATATAAAGAAGGCCTGATCTCACTACAGGGCACACTGGTGGAGAAGCACTGGGAGATCTCTTTTATCTCAGCGCTGAGCGGATTACCAGCTGTGAAACAACAGCAGGCTCGCTCTGCCTCCAACCACCACCACCCCGCCCAACAAAACCCCTCTGGTCACACGCGTGCACGGATTACCCATCAGCACCTCTGATTGGATGTTATGATTTTATTTGTCATCCGCTGCGAGCTCGGGCTCATGATGACAGAAGTGACAGTTGTTTGCTTTTAACACGCTTTCACTGCTGCATGGCTCCTACAAAAAAAAATAAATAAATAAATGCTGTGTTTGTGTTTGTCTCGCACCACCGCTCGCCACTGCTGGGATGCCCCAAAGTCTTTTTATTTATGAACACTGTGACATTGAAGGGGTCTGTGGCTTTTCTTTTCTTTTTTTTTAAACCCAAGAAGAAGAAAAAACAAAACCTCCAAACATTTCAGTTTGCACTTGTTTCCCCGAAACTCCACTCCAACGGCGCGGCCCGCAATTGCATTTGTTGCCTGGCAACAGCAGCTTATTGAGCATTTTATCAGGAAGTATTGAGATCAACTGGGAGCGTGTCAGTAGTTCAGAGGCATAATTCGTTGTGAATAGATGCCTGTGGAAAAAAAAGAAAACAGTTTCAGCCCTGGCTCCGGGGTTTAATAAAGAGCGAGACAACTAGTGCGCCCTAAAAGCTCATATTGAATGCCACCTAAGAAAAGAATAGACGAAAAAGAAACAAAATTCATGCAGAGGAAATGAAAACTATCAACACAGACAGGCATCTTGCTGCGTTATGCAACATCTGTAGTCGAGTGTGTCTGTTCTTCCGATTCATGTTTTTCTTTCTTCTCAGCAGTGTAAATGTTAGTTTTGGGAACCATTTCACATGTTGCTGTGTCAGTGTTTGTGAAAAAACCAAACCAAACCCCAATGAAGGCATAAGTGATCTATGACACGTCTTGTGTTTATACCGTTGCGTGTCTTGGTTCAAGCACAAGTGTTCGCCACAGAGGGGATACCTGGAGAAACCTCAAGAGGATGATTTGAGTGTTAAAGATGGAGTTTGTGAAAGCAGGTTTCTGAGTTAAAAGCTAATCCACCCTGAATCTGTTGCCTACAAACAAATCATAATAATAAAAAAGAAAGGAGAGCATGTAAACAAGTCAGGAGCCAGATATGTAGCTATGCTGTCTGTAATGTATGCTGAATTCTAGCTTGAGGCTAAATTGTGTTAAGTTTTAGATTTTTCTCATTTTCTCTCCTATAGAAAAGTTTTTATTTCGAAAGAAACAGTCCATCATTGACATTTTTTGCTATTTCTACACACACACACACACACACACACACACACACACACACACACACACACACACACACACACACACACACA